CTTTTAATAAAAACTATATATTAATGAGAGAATTAGGACTTCATAAATAATAAGGCAGCTAAAACTTGTAAGGTTTTCCAAATCTCTAAAAATAATAAAAAATGTTTCTTTTTGTAGTGACTCTTCAAGTGAATGCATTTATTCTTTTTATGGTACATACAGATTTTAACAAATACATTATCTTTGAGATTTCCAGATAGAAGGAAAGATAGAAACCCAGTATTTGGTCTGACATCCTTATGGCAAACTTTATTTAACTTGTTTCTTTTAAATAAATAACCAGGTTGTAAATATTTGAAAATGATTAAATAACAGAGTTGAAGAACAAATAATTTGAAGAAAATAATTAGAGTTGAAGAACACAAAAACCATCTCATTATTTATGGTATCCTTGTTTATTAGCCATAATAGTATATAAATAGGGAGGAAGATGTAGATTTTGGTGGAAATTCTAGACAAGTGTATCATAAATATCATAAAGTACATGAAGCAAACTCACTAACAATTACCAGATTCGCTAGAATAATCACATCACTTAAAGGAAACTGCTGGAAAAAATAGGAAATTGAACAGATTTTATGATTGAAAGAATCCCAATGATTTCCCATGGAGATTTCAGTTATCAGGAGAAAGGTTACTATAATGTTTTTTCTTTGATCTTGTGTGACTGTGTGTGTGGCGGGGGTGGGGGGATGCAAAATAGGACTTAAACCAACACTTACAGGCTATCTTAATGCAAGTCACAGACTGGTTAAGAGCTATAATAAATAAAACAATAGAAGAAAAATAAGTACTGGTCACTTTCATTTTACAAATTTATTGATTGGTTGGTGATGATTAAAAATATATTGAAGAAGGATCTTCAAATTTCTCTTACATTGATTTTGAATGGAGTTCAGTAGAACAGGTTTATTATATAGAGACACAGAGAAGACAACAAGATTCATTTTGACTTTAGTCTCTTGGAATAACAGTTTGAATCTTAGCTTAAATTTGTGTTCTGTATATAAAATTTCAGTTTTTCAAATTTGGTACACTTATAAAGCTTCATGATAGAAATTGAGTGGTACCTATTTTACATCTCTAGGTCAAAGGGTTCCCGAGATATGACCCTTTGACTCTTGCATAAATTAATTTGACATTTTTATAACTTCAGTGTCCTTCTTCATCTTTCTGTTATCCAGATCCAGATACATCCAGATATATTAATCTTAAATCACTCTGATATTCTTAGTTTATTTGAGCCAATAACTGACACTGAATGAACTTATAAACTTTCAAAAATTGAGATAGAAAAAGCTTCAAATATTTTAGGATAAAGAATTTCTTGAAATAAACTTAAAGATACACTTAAGGTTAGTCATCACAAAAAATTTGAGTGAAATGGTTTGCATATCCAAATTTTTATTTTCTATTTAAACATGTATTCCATTAAATAAAAATAAATTTGCATGTTAATCTTTTTGTAAATGTTAGGAATCTTTTTTTAAATATTTAATGTATCACTTTTTCAGATCAGAACTTAGTTTTTTTAAATATATATAAAAATACTGAAAATTTTACTGTTTTGTGCATTTAGTGTAAAAGTCAACAAAAATTTGTTAACCATTAACATCATCTGTTGCATATTTCCATTATTTTATGCTATCTTAAGACTATTTCATGATACCTTTTTAGATAATTATTTTTTATTATGTCTTTTTTTTTATTTATAAAAAAATAAAATTTTTATTTGTTAAATAATAAAAATGTATAATAAAAAAACCAAAAAAAAAAAATAAAGTTGTTTTTTTTTCCCAAATTGGTCAACATTTAACCACAAATAACACAAATTCTCTTTATTTAATGATCATAGTTTTAATGTGAACATTAATCAGCATTCAAAGAGCTTTCTAAAGATATACAACATGACCATATTGGGAGATATGAAAAGGTTAGCATAATGTTAGCAAATACCAAAATCCACCATTCTGAAATTGATCCAACTCAGTAAAACTCAAACCACAGTTAAAAGTCCACCATAAAATTTTATCTTGCCATAAAGCAGACAAATTTGTTGTCAAATTTAAAAAAAAATTAAAGATGAGAAATTAAAGATCAAGATCAAATTATCTTATTTGACCTTTAACCAAAAAAATAAATAGACCAACTTTTAGATCCACGCAGGTTCTTTAAAATGGTATATAATTTAGCTTTGTGAGTGAAAAAAAAACTGAGATATTGATATTTCAACTTTGTGACTATTTTCCAAAATTCACCTTTTTGGCAAGGGTAAAAAGGTCACATCTAGGGAACCCTTTGACCTAAAGATGTAAAATAAGTACCATTCAATTTCTATCATGAAGCTCTATCTGTGTAACAAATTTGAAAAAAAATTGTGTCAGTGATGTTCAGACCCTTGTTGATTTGACATGGAATGACTCACATGTACATTATTATATTCACAATGTTTCTATAACCTTCTTCAGGTTTCTGTTTTCATACTTGGTAACCTTGGAATTTCAAACTAAATCCTTTATGCAGTTAGAATGTTCTCATTGTGACTTTTCAGCACTAACAGGCCCAGAGATTTGAGTTCTCAAGTGTCAGGAAATGTGATGTTTTAATCAACACTAAAAACATTAAGAATTTCAATATTAGATTGTCTCTTGGACAATCTAACATTGAAATTCTGGATTCTTGAACCTAAGGTCTTTAAGTTAGGTGGTAGAACTGTATGAGCGTCTTGACTCAGATGGTGGAACCATATAAGTATCCTGACTTAACAAATATGAAGATAGACACTCGAGGAAAACCAAATAGCTAAGCATATAATAAATGTTATTTATTACTTGGCTATTCATTGTGCACCAATGAACTTATTTTTTTTATGATCATTTCTGACCCAAGTCCATACTTACCAACAATTTCATAATTTTGTTCCCTTCCTACATTTGCATTTAGTCCCCATTGGGAAGATAATTTTTTATGACTTGCTGTGATATTAAGCATTTTTTAGTGTGTTGTAAAACAGCTATTTCTTGTTTGTACTTTCTGAGGTGGATGTATAAATCATCATGATTACCTATGAATGGCTTCCCTTTCAGTTTCAACAAAACAACTCCAACAGCATGCCAGTACCCCAAAATGCACTTCCTCTTGTATTTATGTAATATTAGCCCAACTCTTTAATTTTCCCTCTTAAGACAAGCTAAATCATAATGCACTAGTTTCAAGAAATTAATTTGCCTGATTACTTGGCATTCTATTTCTGTAAAGGATCATTTTTCCTTCAATACAAATATGCTTAGAAAAACATATCTGCTTAAACAATGATATATAAAAGTGTATATTCTCAAAGTAAGATGAGTATTATCGTTCTTTAAAAGGGCATTACTTATTCTGTTTAAAACTTAAGAAAATGGGGTCACTCTTTGTAGGGAGAAACCACCATTTAATCTGGCATGCTCAGCCACAGAGAGCATCACAGCCTTGCACATTTTCATTATTAATTCTTCTTGGGTGCACAGGTCGATAGACATAAAATAAAAAATAAATAAATAAAATGGGCCATCTATTTCAAACACAAGTATCAGCTAAAAGTATTGTTTGAAGTCATAAAATGTTAGCTTAAAAATAAATCCATTAACTCTTTAGAAATTGCTTTGTTTATGTTTTGGATATGAAAATGAGCAAATATGAGTTTTTGAGAAAATCTGAATGAGGGAGTTTGTATCCCTTAATAGTTATAAAAAATTATATATTATCTCATTCCAAGTGAAAATAGAAATGAGGCTGATATTTTTATCAAAATCTTTTTATTCTGGTAGCTTGTAACTCTGCATTTTTTTTTGCGACATGTATAATACACAGTATTCTATTAATTCTTAATTAAGAGTTTTTTTTTAGTTTGCACCATTAAACTGCTTTGTTCTTATATTTTCTGTCTCCTCAAAACTTAGTACCACCTTCAACTTACATAATATCAGTAGTGGGTGAAAGATAACAGTAATAAATGGTTTGATTTCCACCGGAAATTTTTTTAAGATGATGGATATGAAGATGACATTTTTAAACAAGTAGCAGCATTTTCTGCTATAATAATAAGTCAAATATGATTTCTATTGCTGATTTCCCCAAGAGAAATTAATTCAGATTTCATTTTTTTCTTTTTATTTCCCATTCATTTGTCCCAATATTATATTCATGTTTATTTCAAACTCAAGATTTCTCTGTAATTACCATTCTTCTATGATTTCTCAGCAACTGTATCAACACACACTTCCTTATAACTATTATACAAGCTGGAATAAAAATTAAGCTTGATATTTTTGAACCTCAGTTATTTCTTTCTGCAGTCATAAGTAAGAGATAAAACAAGTGGGAATTACAATGTATATATGTAATGCATAATGTAATGTATTATTTATATAATGACAATAACTTTACCAGGGAATAATGAACTGAGAGATATGTTTATTTACAGAAGAGACCCCATTTCTAGAACATTCCTAAATGAATCATTATGTAATAAGTAAAAAAATGCAATCTATTAATTAAAAGTACGAAATATTCAACATTAAATTTCTATGCTAATAAATAATCACAGACTTCAGCAGTCAGATTATTAAATAATAATGCCAAAAACAAGCAGTTGAAAAAATTATATGCTGAAAAATATTAGCATAAAAAATATCTAAAATAGTTTATGGACTATTTGTTAAAAGCATTTTCTTACAGCTGGATTTTCTTATACCTCCAAAATTGAATTTAAAAAAAAATAAAGCTTCGACAAACACTTAACACTTTATCTTGAAGCAAAATGGAACAAACAAATCTTAAGAGTCATTGTTACATTGAATAAATATCTATGTACAATGTATATTAAACCACAAATATAAAACATTATCAGTATGCTCATAACTACACCATTATAACATGAATACCACAAAATCACACAGTAAAACTAGGATAACAAATAGAAAAAAAATTTTAAACAAATAAAGTTACAAAATACTTACTTGACTAAACTGAATTTCAGAATTAACATCAAATCGGTTTGGTTTGTTGTTTTCTCCATCATAGGATGATTGCTAAAATACATCAAGAAGATTTGTTAAACTTTCAAAAACACACACAAACAGAAGGAAAACATACTAAGTCCCTAAGTATTTTGAAGTTATTATTTTTTAAAAATAGTTTTATAAAAAAAGTAGAGCATAAATATAATTATTTATTTAAAAATATGATTCCAAATTGTGACATAAGAAGTCCCATGTTTCAAAACAAGTTGAAAAACTTCAATATAATTATTTAAATTAAATTGAGTTAAAATAAGCTCTGTTCCATCTTTAAGCGAAATTTTTTTTGGAATAACGTGTTTCTGAAATTTACGTGTTTTAAAAATTGAAATCAAAATTTCCATGGTAACAGCTAGGGCGAATTGTTTAAGTTGGGTAGGCGGGTGTTGGGTGTAAATAATAAGTATCACTATAGAGTTACTTTCGTAGATGTCAAGTCAGTGAAAGGTGGGGGTGTCTAAATTTGAAACGGAAGATGTATTAACCCTTGTCTAGTTTGCATGTCTATGGAGATTTATTTATTTTATTTTTTTATGAAAGGGATTTGTGCATATAAAAAAAAACAAAAAAAAAAACTGTCATAACATTTTTTTTTGAGAACTTCATGAAGGGTTATCTTTTTTTTAGGGTATTTAAACTATTTATTTCAGCTATGGATTATGAAGGTATTGTTATATTGTATGCATGTTTTAGTTAATTATTCAAACCATGAATCTGAAAATTGGGCTATGGATTAAACAAGTTATATAATTTATGCTAGTTTTTTTAATAGTTCAAACCAAAAATCTGATGATGCCTACAAAAAAACCGTTAACTTCGTGTCTATTGTTTAATAGATTATTATTATTTTTTTTTAATTATGTGCAATTTTTTCATGGAGGCATAAAGGGCATGGGTCATCCCAAGTTTTACATGTTCTAATTGTTAATAATTTTCCATTTAACTTTAGGTGTCCTATTTATTTTCCTTCAAATACCAAAAATATTTAGATAACCACAAACCCCCATGCCTAAACAGTATTAATAAAAACCCTGCACTTAAATCAGACAATAAAAGGGAAAAAATCATGTAACTGTAAAAACCTAGAAGACTGCCCATTAGAAAATAAATGCTGCATTAAATCAGTGGTATACCAATGTACTATATCATCCACTGAGAGTCCTAGCACTAATAAGATATAAAAATTAAAAACAGAAGAATGATTTTAAAGATAGATGGAGGCAGCATAAGTGTTCTTTCAATAATATAAAAAAAAAATCAGACTTCCCTAGATATAACACCACCCATTATACATACATGTGAGGCAGCCGAAACTGCCCACATATGTTTATATATGTATGAGTCCCGACGGACGACCAAGTATGTATATGTGTTTGCATACATCGATGTTGGACGTTAGTACGATGAATGACAAAACGACGAAATTTCCCCACCACTTCCAAAATAACACCAATAACGCAATCTACATAAACCAAAATTTTTAAAACATTAATCAGTTTGTCTGACGATCGCTAAAAGCGTGAAACCCAGGTCACAAACTCACATCTATCCAACCAAATATGTTAGCTCTATCTCTGATATTGAGTGCTTTCTAATGTGTACCGCATAATATAATATATAAATAATTATACATATATATATTTGTTTATATTTATATACACTTTTCACATATATATATATATATATATATATATATATATATATATACACACACACACACATACATACACTAACAGCCATACCCAGCTGGTCAATCAGAAAAAAAGCATTCCATTAGAATGGAGCAAAAGCACCATCATGTTTAGATTACTTTAAAGTACTTTCATTAAAAAAACATTTTGAATTAATGCAGTTACTGATAAAGAAGTAGTCTGTATTTATTCAATCGAAGTTAGTCAAGGGCATGAAAGGGTAAAACAGGCAACATGAAGACCCACTTCAGACCACAATTATTTTGGAGTTTTGAAATTCATTTTATCAGTGTGCTACCAGGGATGTAAAAGAGGATACATTTATAACATAATTGATGAAAATTGGTTGAAAGATCAATGAAAAACAAGAAATGAACCAGTAAAAAAAAAAAAAAAAAAAAAAATCGCCATTTTTTGCTATTTATGAATGTTTTCACTATATGGGTGGACTCAATTATCAAGTTAAATGACTGTTAAACAATCAAGTTATTGTTGGCTACAATTGAGTGAAGTTTGTATTAAATTGTTTGAAAATTGAAGGAGTTTTTAGTTTTAAATTGGTGCTAAAATTAATTTTTCATTTTTTGATTTTTCACTAAATGCAGTTGTGTAGAAATAAAAATGAGGTATCGTCTGTATTTAAACCTCTAACATTGTCCCCATAATACAAAATATTGAAACTTCACAAAATCAATATTGTCCACTTGGAGAATGTCTCTTTAAAAATAATAATGCAAACAACACATACATTGGTTATATAATCACTACATTATTGTACTAGTTAAACTGTATATCACCAACCAACAAAACACAAGAAATCTGACAAGCACTTAATAATACTATACATATAAATTATAAAAAATATAACTATAAATATAAAAACTTAAAAACAACCAAATATCAATAAAATCTCAATGAATTTAGTAACAAAGATACTAAATATGTTTCACAATATTAAAAAGCACAAAAATCTGACAAATTGATGTGTAAAGATACGATCCTTGAAAAAATGAACATGACACCCACAACACTTGAAAAAAGCCAAAGAAAACAGAATGCATACTTGTACATAGACACAATCCTATTAATTGCAGAATTTATGTTCAAATTATACTAGAAACTATAAAAACAATCTGATCCATAGAAATTTTATATAGAAAAAAAGAAAAAGAAGTATTGTTGATCTTCAACCAAACCTGCATAAATGATAAACTTTTACACAACCCAGTTACACTCAATTTACTGCACATTTAAGAGACTTAATAGATAAAATGTGCTACTCAGCATAGCTCTCTAATGAAATTTAATATTATTTATTAAAGGAATCTGAATTTCATTTAGATTACTGAAATTTGAATCATATTTTTATAATTTTTTATACATCTAAAATGACCATCACAATAAAATAAGATTTATATGAAAAATCAGAGGTCAATAGAGAAATATGTGCATGAAAAAGTATAATGAAAGTAAAATATTAAATTTCAGAATCTAAAGAAGAACGCTTTCTATTTATCAATTCCAGAAAATAGAGAGCTGAATATTGATAAGTTGCAAAAACAAGGAAATAACATTAATCAGATGAATTTGTTGTCTTGCAAGCTGGATTTATATTAACAGGCATTAGATGGAAACCAAGCCAATGTTCAATGATCTTTTTAAAAAATGAACAGGAAGAGTTACAATTTCTCAGTTATAATTACTATATACAACAAACAAAAAGTATGCCCAGTTGTGGACTACTGAGGGCTCAAATCAATACATTGACACATTTACAGCTAAATGCAATGGAAACAAGGAAACATGATTCCTGATATTTCTAACCCAATCATGCAACAGAATGTATTTTTTCTCTCTGGAAAAAATTTACTAAACTTTCTCAATTCTGTTTGTTGGGCAGTTGTGGCATTTACATTTAATCATGGCCACTTATGCTACAATTTATTGGCACTGATACTAAATTTATCAAAAAATTTACATAGCCAAATAAAATTTTTTTAAAAAAACATGGAAAAATTATACAACTCATTTTTACAAGTCTTTTATATTATCAAAGTATGGTGATAATTCAATAAATCTGAATAAATCAGTAAATCTGAAGATGTTTTTTTTAAATTTAATAAAAAACAAAACAGTAGAAAAAAACAACCAAGTTCAATAACAAAAATTTTTGACAGTGAATTTTATATAAAAAATAAAAGAAATTAAAAATCTTTCCAAAGTAAAATATTACAAGAAATGTATTCTTAAATAAAGACCTGATTAACTAATTAAAAAAAAAACAAAAAACAGTTACATGGAATTTTTGTCCAGTTATTTTTTTTCTTTTTGTCCTCTTTACATTTTTGCCATTTGTTTTTTTCCTGTTTTTCACCAGTATGATAATTAGCACATAAAACTTCTATGCACAAATGCATGCAGAGTTTAAAATTCTACAATAAATAGAATAAAAGTTTTCTGGATAAAACTTGTTAGTTGTTTAATTTACAAATATACTTATACATGTATACATATACATGTATATACATATGCTTATACATATATATGTATACATGTATGCTTATATGCATATAATTCATGCATGTCTATATTGTTACAAGGATGCATTTCTATAATAAGAAAGTCTCAATAAGGTTAAAATTTATAGTAAGGGATTCTACTTTCTACCTGTTAATACAAAAAAGTTTCCTTTCATGAAGTAGATATAAAATAGAGAAATTTGAAATAGAACATTTGGAAGATTCTATATCATTATAGTATATTCGAGAAACATCTAGAAATATGCAAATTAGGTGTTAGCCCCTATAAAAATGGGATTTTGGAAAAGGGTTGTCAGTTGTTGAAAAGAATTTTTGCGGTTATCAACTCCGGCTTTTGATTCGAGGATTATTATATCCATCCGAAAGAATCTATAAAAAGTTGCTGACCAAAAACAGCCCAAAAGAGAATTTCATGGAACAAATTTAGTAAATAGAATTTTGACTTATTTTCATTCACCAAACTAAAAATTAATATTAATTTACACACCTTTGTGGATTTTCAAATATAGCAGTTAGATTACTTCACTAGCCCTAAAGTGATAAAGATATTTGACTAGCTTTCCTAGTCTCTCGTAGCACTTCATCCGTAAATTCTGTGTTTTCTGCTTTTGTATGCCACAATTATTTATCTTGTATATATTTTATGTTGTGTTTTAGTAAATTAAATATTTGTTTGTGATTTAGCTCGGTGTTGTGATAAATGCTTCATTAAACATAATGCTTCACAACAATCTAATCGACAAGGAAACATACACAGCACTTACACCCACAAACATTACACCTGCTCGTTTCTATCTCCTTCCTAAAATACACAAAAGCGACAACCCAGGAAGGCTGATTATTTCATCGTTCAACTGCCACACGACAAAAGTTTCCAAATACATAGACCATTACATACAACCGCTAGCTAAGGAAGTAAAATCCTACATCAGAGACAAAACGGATCTACTGAACGAAATTAATCACATACAAACAGTACCAGAGAATTCTATTCTAGTGACTATGGACATTAGGTCACTCTATTCAAACATTAAAAACATCGAAGGGCTAACCGCCCTTCAGGAAGCACTTACTAAAAGAAGAAAACAAGACCCCCCCACAGAAGACATCATAAAACTCATGGAGCATGTCATTACATTGAATACTTTCAACTTCAATGGAGCACACTACCTTCAAATAAGAGGTTGTGCCATGGGCACCATTGCAGCTCCATCATATGCTGCAATATTCATGGGAAAATTTGAGGAGACATATCTATCCAATCATTGGTAGCGACTGCAAGATATATCGATGATATATTCTTTGTATACACAGGTAGTGATGACAAACTTACCCAATTCCTTATGACCCTAAACACAGTGCACGACTCAATTAAGTTTTACTATGAAAAATCCACAACATCAGTAACATTTTTAGACACCCGCATTTCCAAAGATGAAAACAGGAAACTACAAACGACACTATACACTAAAATCACAGACACCCACAACTATCTACACTTTAAGTCTTCCCACCCTAAACACCTGAAAGAGAACCTTCCCTATTCACAAGCACTTAGACTCAGAAGGATATGTTCCAACAATAAAGAATTAAATAAACACATTGAAAATCTGGAGCATCAATTCACAACACGTGGCTATAAACAACACCTAATCAGGGAACAAATAAATAAAGCAATTTCCACACCTAGAGAAGACACCCTAATGTACAAGATTATAAATAAATCAAGCCGCATCCCTCTAGTAACCACTTTCAATCCCCTCTGCCTCCACTATCCCAAATAATCA